AAAAATATTAGACGAAAAAATCTAAAAAGAGAAAAACAATAAAAAATTTCTTATCTAAAACAACACCTTACTTAGATTCCAAGATACTCAGTTCATTGAATTGCAACCTTTAGCAAATTCTAATATAAGTCAAATGCATTAATAGAAGCGTAATGTTAAAAAATATTAGACAAAAAAAAAACCAAAAAAAAAATAAAATAAAATAAAAAGAGGATAAATCTATTTGTAGCAGTCTGTTATACTCTTATTTATAACAGCATCAGAAATCACATGATATTTTTAATTGTTTATTGGATGAAATGTTGTAAGTAAAGATGCAAAAGTCCAGTTTAGTCTCAACACAACTCCAAGTCAGACTTGAAACTTCGATTTGTATTTGCATGTACATCTTGTATATTTAGATGCATACTTGTATGCTTTTCTTAATATATTTAATGCACGAGTTGAAGTTTCAAGTTTGATTTGAGGACTTTTTATGTCCCTAGGCACACAAAAGTACAAATTAACAAATTGAAAACTGATCTGATCCTTAGAGTACTTCCCAAAATAGAAACTGGCCAGGTTCATTTCAAATTCTGACAATAAATGATGAAATGTGTATTGGTATCATCCAATTATCTAATGTCAGTGACCCTAGAAAGCTATGTATCTATGACATAGTGCATATTATTTGCAAATAGTTGTTTGTTATTTATTGCAATACAAAACATGATGTAATAATTACACCTATAAATAAAATGAAGTGATCAGTTATATTGCCAGTTTTTTTGCTCTTTTACTTTTTCACTAATAACAATAATAAAACTTAGAAGTCCTTATTCAGAAAAGTATCTCATGACTGAATTAAAACAAATAAACATGGTTAGTTAAAGTGAAAAGCTTAGTGAAAAGTGTGACAAAAAGATGTACCCTTGAGCTTGTATTCATAGTTTTTTTTGTATTTCGTCTCTTGTCCAAGAAAGCATCTCAATGAAATAAAGCAATAAGAAACTTTGTTGATAAACAGTTATTGATTTGCTAGATATAAATACGGAACTTCAGAGTATATGTTATATTTATATAAAAAAAAAATTAATAATAAAAGGATTGTTAAAAGTTTTTTTTTTTTTTAGAGATGTCTGATGAGTTTACTGCATAGTATATTGAAGAGATCCAAAGTGATAATAATCACAAAGATAATGTTGAATTGATACTGGATTTTTCGTACGAATTTGAAAGTAATCAAGAAATACTTGAGCCTAGTAACTAGTATCTCAAAAATTTAAAAGTAAATGTGTTAAATTGTATAAATGATAGATTATTTCTTACTTGTTTTATTTTTTTTACTAGATACAAATGTACTTAACAAAACTGTAGATCTTTTTGTTAGTTATTCCTTCACATCATAGGAAGAGGTAGACACAATTATGAAAATCTACGATAAACAACAGGGATTTAGAATTATTAAAAAGAGGTTAGAACGACATCAATATAGTAGTATCAAACTTCGTAGTTTGGGATGTGAATTTGGAGACCACTATAAGCCAAAAAAACAGGTCGATATTGATAAACACCGAAACCGCAAGTCAAAATGCCAAGAATGTGAATGGTACATTGTTCAAAAAATACCCTACGTATAACAATTACAACATTCAATAACATATACAATCATGAATTACATTCTAATGCAGTAACTTTTGCTCCAATACATCGAGACATTTCACAAAAAGTTCTTGATGAAATTTAATTTTTTACTAAGCATAGCAACTTACCAATGGAAACTCAGAAAAAGCTGTTGAAAGCAATGTTTCCATATAAATCTATTTTGGAACGTGATCTTACAAATACAATTCAAAGGTTTAAAATTAAAAAGAATGAAAATATAGATGCATCTTGCTTGCTCACAACACTAATTGAAAAGAAATCACTTGATCCTACATTGGTGGTTGAGTTCGAACTTGATCATGAAAATAGACTTACCTGTCTTTTCTGGATGTCACCAGCACAGATTACTCTTTGACAGAATATCACAATGTTATTTTAAATAATAATACTGCCAAGACTAACTGTTATTAGATGCCACTTTTGCTTTTTCTTGTTGTGGATAACAACACTAGATCACATCTTGTTGCACAAGCACTTATTTCTGATGAAACAGCAAAGTCATATAAATAGATTTTGGAGTATACAAAAATTGCCACTTTACCTGAATCATTAGTATTTGTAACAGATGCTGACCTTGCTGCAGATGCAGCAATTGAACAAATATACAAAGTTATATACCAAATTCACTGTATTTTTCATATTAATGAAAACTTACTGAAAAACCTCAAGTCTAAGCTTTGTGACCAGTATGATAGTTTCGTTTATAATTTTTTTGTGTCATAACAGTTTATGTGAGGCTCTTTTTTATAAAAGATAGACACAACTTACTGAAAAATATATTTATGCTAAAGATTACTTAATGAGAGCCTTTTATCCTAGTAGAAGAGCATGGGTTCATGCATTTATATCAAAAATATTCAATATGGGAATTCAAACTACCTCTCATGTTGAAAGTATGAATAATATTATTAAACATGTATTAACATCAACTAGCACTTTATGAGATCTCGCTAGTATACTAGAAGAGAGACTTCAAGATGAGGCACAATGGAATCGCTTTTTTGAGTATCAAACTGTCTCATCTTGCATGGAAATTACATCAGTTGGACATGATCTCTTTTCCAAAATTGACAAATTAATGAATAAATACCTTACCCCTCACATACTATCAGCAGAACGCTTGGAAATAGCACAGTGTCTTTATTTTACTGCAAGTAAAATGAAATTAGATATCAGAATCTATGACGAGGCAAATGAATCTAATGTAATTTCTTAGTTAATTTAAAATTTAATTTAATTTAGTCTAATCTAACATTTTTATTATATTAAGATTTGGACTTTATTATAGCTAATGGTTTTGTTGAGTATATTTATGATGCCAAAAAAATTTTGTTGAAATCGATGATTGCAGAAGTTGAAGAAAAAAATATCCAAGAAATATGGAAGGTTACGGATATATGACCTGAAAATAAGAGATACATACATTTTGTGGTGGTAGTCAATTCTATTTCATATCTTTGTTCATGTATGTCGAACATATCCTGAGGCATTGTTTACCGCCATTACTTTAGAGTAATAATGTACTTAAGAATTGCAGGGTTTCACATCCAAATGATACCTTCACGATAGTATACTGATGAGTAAAAAACTAATAATGTCACTATGGAGGCTTGCTGTTTTACAAATCATGAGTCAGTGAAAAATCAGTTTCATGTAAAAATTTTGGTTCTGAATTCTTCAACTGTGCCTAAAACAGTTAGTGTTGATTTGCACCATGCTGTATAAAAAAAGCTTAAATATGGTAAAATTTGGGAACTTGCCCAACAGGCTGCTCAACTTTCCATTGAACAAAATAATTATCAAGAGATGGTAACATGGCTATGATAATTTATTGATTGACAGCAAGAAACAACGACTATACTTACGAAAAAACGTAATCAAGAAAATGAAGAGTATGATGTTAATAAAGAAAATGAATTTAATCAAGTCAAAAATCCATTAGTATCTTAACGCAAAGGACGTCTGGCAACTAAATGTTACAAGTTAGCAACTGAAAAAACAAAAGCCATGATCAAAATATGCCTGTAGTATATATGGTCAATTAGGGCATAATAGGCAAGTAATTAATTTTTATCGCTTTTTAAACTTTCACTAAAGAGTATATATTGGTATCTAACTGGAATCTATTTCCAATTAGGGGAATTAATTTTACAGCCGATTTGATTATTTTGTATTATAGGCTTTATTACTTTACATATTTGTGCAAGTAATATAAACTTTTTTGATGCCTGTATTACACATATAAGGTTATATTCAGATATACAGTACATTAATAAATTACGTACATATGTATATACATACTATTATACATACGCATATATATATACTTAGATATCCGATATGCATATTAAGAAGTATTAACAAGCATATTTGTATAGGCGTGAATATTTAATTATTTTTTTTGCTCCCAAAAAATTACATATCATGTTCGTGTTGTGAAAGCCTGAATTATACTTCTGTTTTTTATATGAAATAGTTATGTGGCTCTGAAAAATTGTAATAAATAACATTACAATTTATATAGTATATAATTTATTCGAGTAAGTAATTTTTTTATAGATGAATCTATTTGTAACAGCCTGTTACATATTTATTTGTAACAGCCCTCGGAAAACAAGGCCAGAAATAGGGCCAGAAATAAAATAATTACATACTAAAAAATTGTATTAACATTAAATACTTAACTCTTGTACATATGCAAATTATCTTTTATATATACCATTTACTATATAGCAATTTATACAACTTTTTAAAAGATGTACTTTGTCGAATAAATTATATACTATATAAATTGTAATGTTATTTATTACAATTTTTCAGAGCCACATAACTATTTCATATAAAAAACAGAAGTATAATTCAGGCTTTCACAACACGAACATGATATGTAATTTTTTGGGAGCAAAAAAAATAATTAAATATTCACGCCTATACAAATATGCTTGTTAATACTTCTTAATATGCATATCGGATATCTAAGTATATATATATGCGTATGTATAATAGTATGTATATACATATGTACGTAATTTATTAATGTACTGTATATCTGAATATAACCTTATATGTGTAATACAGGCATCAAAAAAGTTTATATTACTTGCACAAATATGTAAAGTAATAAAGCCTATAATACAAAATAATCAAATCGGCTGTAAAATTAATTCCCCTAATTGGAAATAGATTCCAGTTAGATACCAATATATACTCTTTAGTGAAAGTTTAAAAAGCGATAAAAATTAATTACTTGCCTATTATGCCCTAATTGACCATATATACTACAGGCATATTTTGATCATGGCTTTTGTTTTTTCAGTTGCTAACTTGTAACATTTAGTTGCCAGACGTCCTTTGCGTTAAGATACTAATGGATTTTTGACTTGATTAAATTCATTTTCTTTATTAACATCATACTCTTCATTTTCTTGATTACGTTTTTTCGTAAGTATAGTCGTTGTTTCTTGCTGTCAATCAATAAATTATCATAGCCATGTTACCATCTCTTGATAATTATTTTGTTCAATGGAAAGTTGAGCAGCCTGTTGGGCAAGTTCCCAAATTTTACCATATTTAAGCTTTTTTTATACAGCATGGTGCAAATCAACACTAACTGTTTTAGGCACAGTTGAAGAATTCAGAACCAAAATTTTTACATGAAACTGATTTTTCACTGACTCATGATTTGTAAAACAGCAAGCCTCCATAGTGACATTATTAGTTTTTTACTCATCAGTATACTATCGTGAAGGTATCATTTGGATGTGAAACCCTGCAATTCTTAAGTACATTATTACTCTAAAGTAATGGCGGTAAACAATGCCTCAGGATATGTTCGACATACATGAACAAAGATATGAAATAGAATTGACTACCACCACAAAATGTATGTATCTCTTATTTTCAGGTCATATATCCGTAACCTTCCATATTTCTTGGATATTTTTTTCTTCAACTTCTGCAATCATCGATTTCAACAAAATTTTTTTGGCATCATAAATATACTCAACAAAACCATTAGCTATAATAAAGTCCAAATCTTAATATAATAAAAATGTTAGATTAGACTAAATTAAATTAAATTTTAAATTAACTAAGAAATTACATTAGATTCATTTGCCTCGTCATAGATTCTGATATCTAATTTCATTTTACTTGCAGTAAAATAAAGACACTGTGCTATTTCCAAGCGTTCTGCTGATAGTATGTGAGGGGTAAGGTATTTATTCATTAATTTGTCAATTTTGGAAAAGAGATCATGTCCAACTGATGTAATTTCCATGCAAGATGAGACAGTTTGATACTCAAAAAAGCGATTCCATTGTGCCTCATCTTGAAGTCTCTCTTCTAGTATACTAGCGAGATCTCATAAAGTGCTAGTTGATGTTAATACATGTTTAATAATATTATTCATACTTTCAACATGAGAGGTAGTTTGAATTCCCATATTGAATATTTTTGATATAAATGCATGAACCCATGCTCTTCTACTAGGATAAAAGGCTCTCATTAAGTAATCTTTAGCATAAATATATTTTTCAGTAAGTTGTGTCTATCTTTTATAAAAAAGAGCCTCACATAAACTGTTATGACACAAAAAAATTATAAACGAAACTATCATACTGGTCACAAAGCTTAGACTTGAGGTTTTTCAGTAAGTTTTCATTAATATGAAAAATACAGTGAATTTGGTATATAACTTTGTATATTTGTTCAATTGCTGCATCTGCAGCAAGGTCAGCATCTGTTACAAATACTAATGATTCAGGTAAAGTGGCAATTTTTGTATACTCCAAAATCTATTTATATGACTTTGCTGTTTCATCAGAAATAAGTGCTTGTGCAACAAGATGTGATCTAGTGTTGTTATCCACAACAAGAAAAAGCAAAAGTGGCATCTAATAACAGTTAGTCTTGGCAGTATTATTATTTAAAATAACATTGTGATATTCTGTCAAAGAGTAATCTGTGCTGGTGACATCCAGAAAAGACAGGTAAGTCTATTTTCATGATCAAGTTCGAACTCAACCACCAATGTAGGATCAAGTGATTTCTTTTCAATTAGTGTTGTGAGCAAGCAAGATGCATCTATATTTTCATTCTTTTTAATTTTAAACCTTTGAATTGTATTTGTAAGATCACGTTCCAAAATAGATTTATATGGAAACATTGCTTTCAACAGCTTTTTCTGAGTTTCCATTGGTAAGTTGCTATGCTTAGTAAAAAATTAAATTTCATCAAGAACTTTTTGTGAAATGTCTCGATGTATTGGAGCAAAAGTTACTGCATTAGAATGTAATTCATGATTGTATATGTTATTGAATGTTGTAATTGTTATACGTAGGGTATTTTTTGAACAATGTACCATTCACATTCTTGGCATTTTGACTTGCGGTTTCGGTGTTTATCAATATCGACCTGTTTTTTTGGCTTATAGTGGTCTCCAAATTCACATCCCAAACTACGAAGTTTGATACTACTATATTGATGTCGTTCTAACCTCTTTTTAATAATTCTAAATCCCTGTTGTTTATCGTAGATTTTCATAATTGTGTCTACCTCTTCCTATGATGTGAAGGAATAACTAACAAAAAGATCTACAGTTTTGTTAAGTACATTTGTATCTAGTAAAAAAAATAAAACAAGTAAGAAATAATCTATCATTTATACAATTTAACACATTTACTTTTAAATTTTTGAGATACTAGTTACTAGGCTCAAGTATTTCTTGATTACTTTCAAATTCGTACGAAAAATCCAGTATCAATTCAACATTATCTTTGTGATTATTATCACTTTGGATCTCTTCAATATACTATGCAGTAAACTCATCAGACATCTCTAAAAAAAAAAAAAACTTTTAACAATCCTTTTATTATTAATTTTTTTTTTATATAAATATAACATATACTCTGAAGTTCCGTATTTATATCTAGCAAATCAATAACTGTTTATCAACAAAGTTTCTTATTGCTTTATTTCATTGAGATGCTTTCTTGGACAAGAGACGAAATACAAAAAAAACTATGAATACAAGCTCAAGGGTACATCTTTTTGTCACACTTTTCACTAAGCTTTTCACTTTAACTAACCATGTTTATTTGTTTTAATTCAGTCATGAGATACTTTTCTGAATAAGGACTTCTAAGTTTTATTATTGTTATTAGTGAAAAAGTAAAAGAGCAAAAAAACTGGCAATATAACTGATCACTTCATTTTATTTATAGGTGTAATTATTACATCATGTTTTGTATTGCAATAAATAACAAACAACTATTTGCAAATAATATGCACTATGTCATAGATACATAGCTTTCTAGGGTCACTGACATTAGATAATTGGATGATACCAATACACATTTCATCATTTATTGTCAGAATTTGAAATGAACCTGGCCAGTTTCTATTTTGGGAAGTACTCTAAGGATCAGATCAGTTTTCAATTTGTTAATTTGTACTTTTGTGTGCCTAGGGACATAAAAAGTCCTCAAATCAAACTTGAAACTTCAACTCGTGCATTAAATATATTAAGAAAAGCATACAAGTATGCATCTAAATATACAAGATGTACATGCAAATACAAATCGAAGTTTCAAGTCTGACTTGGAGTTGTGTTGAGACTAAACTGGACTTTTGCATCTTTACTTACAACATTTCATCCAATAAACAATTAAAAATATCATGTGATTTCTGATGCTGTTATAAATAAGAGTATAACAGACTGCTACAAATAGATTTATCCTCTTTTTATTTTATTTTATTTTTTTTTTGGTTTTTTTTTTGTCTAATATTTTTTAACATTACGCTTCTATTAATGCATTTGACTTATATTAGAATTTGCTAAAGGTTGCAATTCAATGAACTGAGTATCTTGGAATCTAAGTAAGGTGTTGTTTTAGATAAGAAATTTTTTATTGTTTTTCTCTTTTTAGATTTTTTCGTCTAATATTTTTGCTCATGATGTTTCTACTAATGCATTTGTCTGATATTGAAAGCCACTGAAGGTTGCAATTCGATTAACTATTTACCTTAGAATCCGCTGTAGCGAAAGTATGGTTTTGTTTTGGGTAAGTAATTATTTATTGTTTTTCTTTTTTTATGTCTAATACAGTCTGGTGATATACCAAATTTGGAAATCAGGTTCTAGAAGGATTTACAAACAGGTTCGTGCATTTGATTGGTTGGCACACTTCTTTTTTATGCATGTATTTGGGCTGGGGTTTCACCAAATTTCATATATTCATTTATTACTAAATGATATAAGAGTAGATAATAGAAGCAACAAACCTCAACAATCTCAAATAATTCCGCAAAGTAAGTTGTGTAAGTCGTCTACAAAAAGGTAAATGAGAACATAAATTTATGTTTATTTCTAGTAATAAAAAAAGAAAACCTGTATTTTTGTAGTATACTAATACAAACAGAATGAATATATAGCACACAAAAACGAATGTAGTATACTAATAGAAACGAACATAGTATAATAGTAAGAAAAGAACATAATGCAATAGTTGGGTGAACATAACATAATAGTAATGAATGCAGCATAGTTAGAATTGTTAGAACGAATATAATAGTTAGAACAAGTATGATATGTAGTTGAACGAACATAGTGCAATAGATAGGATGAACATAACACGATAGTTTGAACTTAGCAATAGTTGAAATGAAACGTAGCATTATAGTAAGAATGAATATAGCATTATAGTTGGGATAGATAGATATAGCAAGATAGTAGGTAGATTTAAATAAACGTAGCATAATAATTAGGACAATATAAAAACAAATGTAGCATGTTAGTGAACAAACTTAGGAACAAGTATAGCACAATATATAGTTAAATAGATTTGAAATAAATGTATAAATAATAGGTAGAATTAGAATGAGTTGGTAGATACAGGACAAGAGTTAGGTAGATTCAGGATGTAGCATAAGAGTTTTGGCATATTTGTGACATAGTACGATTAATAAATAAAAAATAAATTTTATTTTAAAAAAACGAAGTAAATAAATTGTACATAGTTAGATTCTTAATACAGAAATATAGTATTATAATAATTAGATTAGAATTAATAAAAAAAAATAAAAATAATTTAAAAAAATAAAGTAAAAAAAATTTTTTTTTACTTGACAGACAATCTTCAATTTGATTGGTCAGCGATCATGCTTTAGAAATTTTCAGAATCAATCGAGCGATGATCTATTTCTATATAAGGTATAATCTGCACTATCCATTTATGGTATATCCCCAGACTGTAATATGTTTGATCATAATAAATAAATAGATGTGTCTAAGAATGAAAAAAAATTATTTTACTGATGCTAAAATCTGCTGAAAGTTGCAATTCGATAAACTGAATACTTTAAAATCTGCTATAGTGAAAGTATGGTGTTGTTTTGCTTAAGTAATTTTTTGTTTTTTTTTCATCTTATTAATTTTCTAATATATTAGTTATTAATATTTAACTTTTTAGCATTCAAAAAAATATTTTATTTATCAAAATAAACAAATGATCACAGATTTTAGACTATCGAAGCAGCTAAATTAGACATCTATAATTACTAATTTAACTACTATTGGAATGCAGCATATATCAAATCTCAGTGCAGACCGAACTGGTAAGCTATTTCAATGTTAGTTTGTGTTGACTTTATTATAGTATAGTTATTTATACATGTTTTATAATTTTTGAAACATTTAAATAAA